CTTCGATATCGCCCTCCCCACTCTTCATTTGTTCACTGATCGCTCCCTCACAATAAGTGAGTGTTTCTTGATTGCAAGTCCATTTGACACTGAAAAGACTCTCAACCGTCGGAGTTTATAACTCTTCCTACTCCAATCAACCCTACATCTTCACGCCATGGACTTCGCACCACTTCTTCTTGCAGGTAGCATTTCCAAATTGATAGGTTCCCCCATGGGCTCTGATATACTGAGCCACCCTCTTCCATGAAACCTTCGGCAAATGATTGTCAATGCGAGCCCAGCAGAAGGAGTAACGGCTTTTGTCATGGCTCGTGGTTTCTGACAACACGTTAACCGCTTCACAGAGAAGGCGAATCTACCGTGAATCAGTACCAGCTTTAATGCACACCTAGGGGGATAAAAAAAAAAAAAGTGACCGGGATAAGTGACTTACGTCGTTTTGGTGCCATTGTGGCTTCCTCACGCGTTGCTCCTTAGATTTTGTCAACGTGCGGAATCTGCCACGCAGAGTCGACTCGGCCTCCTTGAAACCGCCAATCCTTTTGATATCTTTATATGACAACCCACGGAGCTTACAGTCGATTAAGAATGCGTTTCTCTTGTCGCGGAGGCACGTAAGTGGCCTGCCAAGTAGTTTCCCCTGGTTAACATGGCTTATGTCACTGGAACTCGGTAGCGGCCAAGGCTCATTAGGTCTATATCGGCTCTCATGGTGCAGGTAGGGATTGGTGATAGGAAAGAATTCATTACACCTTTGGTTGGCTGCGCATCCACTTCCGATCGAAAGCATGGCCGGGCAATCAGCCCTTTGGGAGCCCCATGGGAGGAGTAGGGACTGGGCAGCGCTTGAACCGTCATTCTCAAATGTGGACGGATCCAGATGAATGTTCGCTGCCGCAAGCTGAGCCAGTGCGCTGTTGATTTCTCCGTAAAATTGCGCCTCATTCGACAAGTTCCCTGCGTCCCATATGGATAGACCAGAACTAGTGTCTTCACTGGCTGAGTGCGATAATTGATGAACCTGTGCAGCTAGCAAAGGAAGCGATGTGCTAGCTGTATCAAGAATGCTATCTGCAGCTGGTGCTGGAATCTCAAGTGACGACCTTTGGGACTCAGATAGTGCTACTTCTTCCACGCTTGTCCAATCTCCTTCAAGAAGAGGCGCACTGCTCTGAGATATGCATTCATCGAGAATGGTTATGGGTGCCCTGAGTGGTGTTTCCCCCTCCGCCATAAGGGGTGGGACGGGCTCGCTGACCGCAAAATGATCATTCATATCATCGGCCTGGTGGTTTATATCAGAAGCAGCGTCGCTGGAATAAAGATTATCATCGGCGAATGATGTCTGTGGGACGTGTGGGTGGGCATCAAAGATCTCGAACTGACAACCATCCTCAACTTTGACGAAGTGCATTATCTCCTGCGGCTTGTTGTGATGACTTTGCTCTTCAGATAGAAACTGAAGCCCGTGTGCTGCTGCTGCGGTTCTTTCGGGTTCGAAGATTGAGTAACAGTTGGGAAAACAATAAGGGCACCCTATCTGGGGCAAGTCTCGCATTGTCATGTCGTTGCTCGTCATATTGATTAAATGTGTATGCAGTTGCTCGTCGTTCTCCATGAGGTGATGTATCCGTTCGCCTTCAAGGTGTATCACAGAGAGCTCTGAGGCGGTGTTATGCCAGATAGAAGGTCTTCCATGGGAGATTGACTCGCGGTTGTCTAGGAAGGAGAGATGGGAATGAAAGTCCAACGCATTAAGGCTTTCCTTAACGGCAACTGCCTTTCGGTCTCCTGAAGCGATCAGGACGCGCAGCATGGCTTTAAACAAAGACCAATAACTTTCTTGCTCTCTTCACCGCTACTGTCCCCTATGCTCTGGATAGACGTTGGGCAAATACTATGCATTGGATCCTGGTATCAGGTCATGCACGCTATCAGGCTACTAGGGCACCTGCAGGGACTGTTGTGGCTGCTCAGTACACCAAGATCTATATGGAGGGGTTTCACTTTCTCGGATGACTCACCAATAAGGGCTGAGTGTTGATGACTCTGCGATTGTTTGATTTTCCAATTGGGTTGAAAGGAACCAATGACCGAAGGTCTCAAGATCAGACGGGATTTCCCTGAAGGCAACACAACTGAGCGGTGGAGGAATTAATGGGCACAAGGCGCCTCTGAAGGTGTGGTTCCCGCCTTCTCTGCAGTTGCTCGACGACCGAATGAGTGATGCTTCTTCTTGTCCGCCACAGATGGAATGGCAATGATGTCTCAGAATTCTAGCCTCCTGGGCAACAGTTTCCATTCGAGAAGTAGCTGGACAGGGTTCATGGAACTCACGGTTCGTTCTATGAGAGGTGATGTCTTATCCAACGGAGGATGTAGAAGGCTGTCTCAGTCCCCAAGGAAAGGTAACGACACAGCACCGCGCTCGAGGACAAAAGAGATCTGGCTCGAGAACACCGGGGCTTTTCAACATCAATATAAAGCCATATTGATGACCCTTTCACGCCCTCGCGCATTAGCTCCTAAATTACATGGCTACCATGTTCCGATATGGCTTGAACTGTTCGCATCGCCGGAAGCTTAACCCTTGTTCTTTCCAAGATTATATCGGCCTGAACGCTAGAAAATGCTGATCGAAGCACTTTACTCTTTTTGTTCAAAAAAGGCATGGGGATTACGGAACGAGATCAATCACGGCACATGGTTCGGTTTAGCATAATTTCCCAAACTCCCATAACGATCAGTCAAACTCTTTTGCAATCTGCCGCGCATGGTCCGAATGACGATCCTTGAAAGAAGAGCCATCTTCTGTGGCGCAGAAGATGAACTCTAGGAAAAGGGAACTCAATGTCCTGGTGTTCAGACGAAGTTGTACTGGTGTGGTTGTTTTGCAGCAGTGGACGCTAATCGGGTAGCCACATAGGGCTTTGTTCGCACATCCGCTTTATCCTACCATCCTCAGGCGATGCGGTGGCTGCGACCTCATACCAAAGAATCCAGAACATCTATTACCTCCAGAAAATGGGACGTTTGGCCGGACGGTTCGGAAAGCTCCCGTTCGGATCTGCAGGTATGGTTTTCTCCGCCATTGGCTCACATGCTTTATCTGACTGCTTTCTTTTGCCCTAACAACTGCGGACCTTTTAAACCCGCGCTACCGCACAAGCCGGAATCAAACTGCATATGCAGATCATTCCCATCATTCAGGTATCCACCAGAGCTCAGACAACTGCACGCTACCTAGGGTCTATGTATTCTGAAGATCAAAAGTGCCGCAGAAGCTGTTCCCATGAAAACCAATAGCAAGAGAGCAAGTAGAAAGTTGGAGAAAGAAGCGTCCGTGTTGGTCCTGCACGATAAGGTTTCCCGATTCACCGCTTGAAGCCATCCAAGTACATTGCACCCCAGCTTTCACCAGGTCCTGCCAGCCCCAAACGCTTCTGCATCCGTCATTGTGCAAATCAGACGTGCCCATCTGTCATGGTGAAGCAGTGGGCGCAAATGTCGGTCGGAGATTAAGCTTAACCCGCTCTTCAAGTCAAATGTCGGATGGGTCTCCGGTTTGCTCCCTAGACCCCAGAGAAGTGAAGTCCAGCTTGAGAGGTCGATAGGATCTGCATGAGCCATTTCTTCCGGACATCCAGCCCGATGACAGGGTGCTTTTGAAACTTACATCATACGGTACCTACAGATACATTTCTTTTTATTTCATCTCACGGTACTTTTTGGCCTCACTTCCACCACTGTCGTCTCGCACAATGCAAGACAAGGCAAACAATCCCCGATCAAGAAAAAAAGAAAAAGCAAAGACAAACCACACTCAAACCCCCTTGATCCCTACCAGGATCAGATTTTCTTCCCCGCACGATCGTTATTTCGCTCCGTATGGCTCATTGCAGATCTATCATGTGCACTGTATGTTTGCACCTGCTGGAAATCCTACGTATAGCCTGTGTGGGTCTTCCTTCCCCCGGACACCATCCCCAAGCATGTGCACATACACACGTGTACATGTATGTATGTGTGCACGGGCTGCGAATGGGCTTTTGTGACTTACCGGGGGTTGGGGGTGGAATGGGGTGGTGACAGAACTAATTTCCTCCATAGACAGGGGAGCTTACTAGCCTGCCCAAGGTCAACACAAGAAAGAAAGGAAAGACAGAAAGTACTGACCTGGTCTGGCCTAGCCTGACGCACTGGATCTTCTGAGAGTTGCACACACCTTCCCTGCGGGAATCCCGGATGTTGGGTAGAAACGGTGACACCGTCGGGATGAGCATGTTTCACGGGTTTCACCACACCCTTTCCTTTTCGCTGAGAGACTAGACCAGTCCAGCACGGTCCACTCACCATGTATCCTTGAGGAACAAACCGGAAAAACAAAAAATAGAAGAAGAAAATCATTAAGGAGACACAACGCGTGGGATGGTGGCGGTAGGGATCTGAGCGTCCCCCATTGATGATGACAATAACGGGAATATTCTACGACCCTCTGCAAATCCCCGGGATCAGCATGCGGAAGACTAGCTCAGATCGACGGAGCTTGAGCCTGAAGAGATTCGGAGAAATAACAAAATTAACTACGGTGGGGACTGTTGCTGCTAAGGAAGCAAGTAGGGAAGGAAGACGGCAGTAGTCTTTCTCTTATGTCTGTTCCCGCTGCAGCTGCCGTCGTTCCGGTTTGCTGACGACGGGCCTTCCTGCTGCTGCTGCTGCTGGCTTGCGGCAATGGCGTGTCCGTCTTCTTTGAAATCTGTTTTCCGGATTTACGCAATGAGCGTGGATCGTGACTATAATCTGCTTGCATTTTGCTTTTTCTTGCTATTTTGCTGTACATGGCCGCGTCGAGAAACCCCGGCTGGTCGAGGCGTGAATGGAGGTATTCCTTCCTACTGGGAGCTCGGAAACTAATTTGTTATTTCCACATGTATGTATGCTAGAACCCTGCGCGGGTGTCGGTAGATGACAGTTCCATCCCTCAACAGCCAGGCCATCCATTGCCCTACGCAAAGTGGATAGATGGTTAGATCGTCGCAGACCCCCGCTGGCCGCCCTTTTTCCGGCCCTTGGTATAAGGATATGATTGTACAGGGGATGATGGTTCATGCAGGAAAGATAGTATAGTAAAGAATGGCGTCCGCCAGGGTAATTTCAGGGTACCTCGCTTTCCTGCGTCCGTCTGCCGTAGCTCTGGTACCGGTCCAAAAGCCGGTCCATCAGCAACACTGTGACTTTCGTCAGCAGATGGATCTAAGCATCCTTTCCAACCCCAATGCATGGCTAGTAGCTCACCCATGAACAATGTAAGAGTAAACGCATATAATATGGCGGGGGATGTCATGAAAGAATAGACGAGCGGAAAGTGACGAGAGAAACTCATTAGGCTTCCCAGGAGCATACCAAGGGACACGCGGGCCGCTGCGCTGATGCCCATACATCTGCGGAGCGTGTGGCGACGCGCTAATAATACAAAAGCACCAAAGAACATCATAGAGAGTGACGCCACGGCAAAATAGTACACATAGACGAATTCTAGGAGGGCCATATACCCTCTCAGCAGCTGCTCACTAGTCAAGCGGCCAGGATCAGGGTGGTTCGAAGGCATGATCCGCATGGTGGAGAACAGCGCCGCAGTTACATTCCCTACCAGGTCACTGAGCATGTCTCGGGCGATGGGGACTTGGCCCGTCCGACGGGAAGGACAAAGCGGGTGATTGGGGAGATCATCCAAGATCCGGGAGATTGTAACCTGTTCGTTTACGGCCCCTCGGCTATAGTCGATTTCCATATCAGCAATGGTAGCTCGAAGAATTCGTATGGCGTAGTCGGGTCTGGGCCGTGGGTCTTCACAAGCCCACAGGATGGTTTCCGCTAGGTACCGGAGTTTCAATGTGATATCCAGACTTAAGGCAAGGATCTGAGACCCTTCAAGGAGGAGAATGAGGACCACATGGAACGGGAAATGTAGCTGGGCCCATATTTGCTGAGAGTACTTGCCCAGAACACGTCTTGGAGAAAGGTCGAAGTACGCTTGCCACAAGAAGTACTGAAATTGACATGTTAGGATTCCGATTAGAAACGAACTGAACAGTGGGTCAGTCAATCATCGGGGCCATACCACACTAGTTGTAACGCCTAGGATATGGACAAACGACCACTTCGTCCAGCCACCAGGGCCTACTGTCCGGTTGACGAGCCTAGTGACAGATATGACACCTTCACCGATTATGATCAGAGTTAGGAGACCCATTCTTGTGTCGAGATGGGTATCTTGAAGTCCAATCCCAGGTGTGGCGCTTGAAGTTCCCATTACTACCCACATCTCGACCCCAAATAGAACAAACCAAACGGTCCAAATATAGGGGTTGACTCCCTCACGGGGTCGGAAGGCATAATACATCTATAGCAAGTCAGTTTGACAAGGGTACGAGCTAACCGATGGTTGTCTGCCTTAGGTAACTTACCAGGAGGTAGGTCAAGCTTGAGACAAATTGCATCCCCGCAATAATGGATACGCCCCGAGCTGCAGGTATCATACGCCGCCGAAGAAACACGGCGTTGACAGTGTATTGCAAGGCGAGTAAGAGCCGACTGCCACCGAGGATAAGGCTCAAGGACTGGAAGGCCCAGACATTTTCTGGTTGAACACGTGTGGTGAACCTTGAACCTGCCGAGGCAAATCCAACCATAGCAGCCAATTGAAGGGCCTTGCAAATTCTCTCGAAGATCGAGTCTCGCGCGAAACGGATATCGAATAGTGTGACTTGAAGCCAGGTAAACCAGATGATCCCGAGGAAGCCAATGTAGGCCCACAAAGCTGGCAGCATCAGTTTGTGATCAAACCATGTTAGAGAGCTGGTATACCTTCTACGTTGTTGATCTCATGTGTAGCTGTAAAGGTGGAGAGATTCGCGACGAAGAACAAGTCAAAGAATAGCTCGATGGGTGTTGCCTCGGATTGTTGACGGAGATGCGGAAGATCTCCCTCCTTCTCGTCAACTGGCGACTCAATGAACGCAATGACACTACGCTGCCTATTGAAGTTAAGAAATCACCTAAGTCTCATCTCTCCTAACCGAAAGTCCAACTTACTGCGTGGCTGCTCTGGCACGCCTATCTCTACTCGACGGGTGGTCAAACCAGGACTTGAAGGGTATTGGTATCATAGTGATGGGCCTTAGGGAAACTAGACAACTAAACGATGGGTATCATGAAATATGGAGTAAGAACAGTCCTGGTCGGTGGTCGTCAAGACATTGGCGCAGTCGATCGGTTTCGATACGAAGAGCAACTGGTGTTGTCTCGGAAAGAGCGATGGTGATGCTCTTGGACAGGGACTTCAAAGAGGCAGCCACCGCAGACCGTGCGGCAGGCGTCAATGAAGCATTTTTTGAAGCATCAAGGCTCTTCATGCTCAGAGTTGTTCGCAGATGCTGTCACCGAATTTCCAAGACCCTCCAAGCCTCGCGAATTCGCCATTTCATCGGCTGTAGAGAGGTTCCCATCCGAGCCAGGAGTGATTCCAGCCTCCTGCTTAAGCTTCTCGTAATTATCTCCAGCTTCTTTGATCAGAGCCTGTATTTCCACTTCCCGAACAGCTATGTCCGCCTTCTCTTTCCTCAGTTCCTCCATACGGTCGATCATCTGAGCCTTTGACTTCTCTAGGACCGCCAAGTTCATACGCAAACGCTCAAGTGAGTTCGACAGACGGGGTAACGAGGTCATCTTGGGCGGAGTGCGCGGACGGCCGATAGGGTCTCTGCTCGCACCCATAGCAGCTCGTGCCTGACTGGCGTCGTACGCTGCTTTTTCCTCCAAGTCCGAATCATCCTCATCCGACAGACCTTCAGCATCATCAATAAGTTCACGCATTTCTTCCCGCTGTTTTCGCTTTTGCTCTTTCTCTGCTTTCCTCCCAAGGGATATACGTCCGTCCTCAACAAACTCGTCAAATCCTTCTGCGAAGTCTTCATCGTCACGGACGAGCCTCGTATCCTCCCGCCGCGCTTGAAGATCCCAATCGTCCTCTTCCATATCATCCTCGAGGGAAATGAAGTCTTTCTCGGTGGAAAGCGCCGCTTCTTCCTTCGCTAATCGGGCTCTCCGAGCTTTCTTTTCTCTAATCTCTGCTTCGCTGGGAATAGCAGCAGGGGTTGAAACCTTCATGACCTCACCAAACTTGGCAGCCACATCAATTGTCTTCTCCGATTCGTCCTCAGCGGCGGGCTTCGGCGTAGAGGGTGTCGAGTTTCGGAGCTCTTTTAGATATTCGTCGTTGTAACTCGGCCTATCCTGCTCAGGCCCTACCCGGAGGGGGATCTGACCACCTGCGCCCGACGGTGTCAATGATCGCTGAAATGCGCTCTTCTCTATAGCCCGTTTCGCGAGCCCAGGTCGTTTGGGAATGACAACTTCGCTTTCCTGGTCGTCATCGTCGGCCATCGAGGTACTGCCGGGGCCGAACGAAAGGCGCATCTTCGACTTTTGCTTCGTTTTCGAAGTCGGAGGACGTTTGACAACAGGCCCAGAGTCTACCAGCCTTCCATTAGTATATCCATCACGTAAAGTTGAGCTTGATCGCAGATACCAACCTTGCTCGTCGGCGTCATTTTCCTCATCATCGCCACCAATTTTGCGGGGCTTTCGGCGATTTGCGAATTGGGAACTCATTGTCAAAGGGAATGAAAAAGCCTAATAATCTCCTTGTTCAAGCCGAGTCCCAAGCTATAAAATCAGCCAAAAGCCAGAAAGATGAAACCCCGCTGGCGTCACTTGCAGCTCCGCGATTCTTTGGAGCTTGCGGGAACATCATTCTTCCGGGCCCAGCTGATTCCCACTGCTTGTATCTCAAAGTTCCGCAACGCGCCCGACTCGCCGTTACGATAGGACAGTTAGACCCCAAAACACACTATTCAAGATGCCTCAAGCCCAGCCCGAGTTGAAGAAGGTACGAGAATCGCGATTGATATTCCGCCAACCTTCCCCCGACACAGAGCACCTAAGCTAACACTGCGGTTTTCCAACAGTACATGGAAAAGCGGGTATTCTGCCAACTGAACGGCAACCGCAAAGTCATTGGTATCCTGCGAGGCTATGATGTACGTCGCGCCTGTGTCCCTCTGTTCCCTACTGCTCTGCCTGCTGTGTCGCTGTTATACAGGTTGATGTGCCTTGGATGGGGTCGAATATCGGTGATATTCTTGGTTCAACCCATGGGGTGAAAGAGGGGGCGGGGAGAGTGTGTGTATGTGTGTGCGGATTACTGACGTCTGCGCTATTATGATCTAGGTGTTCATGAACATCGTCCTTGATGAGGCTTTCGAGGAGAAGCAGGGTGGAGAGAAGGTCGCTATCGGAATGATTGTATGTGACCATTCCCATTCCCGGACATTTACGTTTGCCTTGGAAACTAGGAGGGGCAGGAAGCTAATGACGGTCTGTTCGTCTTTCTAGGTCATTCGCGGTAACTCGGTTGTTATGCTCGAGGTCAGTATCACCTGCCATAGGACCACGTTTAGTGGTGTACTTATCCAGAAACTAATCTGCTGTTCTAAATAGGCCTTGGAACGTATCAGCGACAAATAAAGTGCTGCGGGTGGACGGGGAAAGTCAACATGTCTTTTTATACCTTCACTGTGGGAAATGATTTAATTGCAAAGGAGTTCACGGGTTGGTTGCTCACGGAATGATCGATGGCATCTCGCTTTCAAAAGGAAACAGAAAAGAAAGAAATCTTCATTTCAAACAATTCACGAGAAACACTTTACGCACAAAGAGATCTGGAATATACCAGATTACGGCATCCTTTGCTTAAGAGGGAGATGGGTGCATTGTCCCAACGCAATGATCCATGACAGCTAGTCAGTTATGGTCTATCATTTTTTCTCGGCAAACCAATGCCCAACTTATCCCACCGGCAATAATCAAATGGGCCTCTGGAACTAGATAATACCCTGTGGAGATAACCCAGAATACTAGAAAAGAATAATAAAAGTTAAAAAAAGAGAACCCCCACGCCATGCATCTCCTTGACCTGAAATCAGCCCACCTCCGTTCCCAAAGTCCAAACAATGAAGAATGAATGAAGCTATACGAGTTAAAATTGGTATCTAGAATTTTGTGTAATGAAGACGGCTGTGAGTAAAGTTGAGCTCATTTCGGCTTCTGGCCGAATTTCAATTTCAGCTTGAACCCACCGCCACTGGGCGTGGATGGGGTAGATGGTGCAGTCGTTGGCTTAGGCTGTGCTGACGAAGCTGGGGAGGGAAGGTTTGGAATGTGCAGCTTTGTTGGAATATGCTGCGATGATGGCTTTGGACTGAATGGTGTAGTACTGGATGCCACCTTGGACTGCTTGAATGTAATACGAGGGCCCGGTGGTCCCATGCCTTGCTCTTCGCGCTTGCGTTTCGGGGTGGCTGTTGTATCTTTTGAGGGTGTGAGTGTCGTGCGGATTTTGTTTGTTCGGACGAAGTGCATGCGTCCCTGGGTTGAGTTAGCAATAATTCAGTAGAAATGTTGTTCTTCAATGTTACGTACCTTTCCGAGATGCTTCACGGTCCAGTAACGAGGGTATTTCAGAGACACCATCCGAGTCGTGATTGCGTCATAGAGAACCCTGCAAAGATCGGTAAACTCGGAGAGCTCGAGTATTCCAATGCAGGGAGAATTGCACGCCGCCCAAAGAGATTCTTTCAGCAGTTGATCGCCGGAGATCTCCTTCTTGAGCGCATTCAAGGCTCCGGTAACTGTCTGTCTCCGGGCAAGGTCGGCCTGGCGGACCTCGGTTGAAGACTCCTGCTCGATAATCAGGTTATCGGTGTTGCTAGCAGGCGCTTCCTCCTTAGTCTCACGGCCAAAGGCGACTGGTGCGAGAGCCTTTCCGAACAAGTTATGTAGGCGACACCTGATAAGGGCAGAAGAGTCGTTTGACATGGTGAAAATGAACCATCGCAGTAGTTCGGGGTATTGGAAGATGTCAAGCTCAATGAGGCATTCAAACGCATCCAAGCGGAGGAGATCGTATGTTCCCGCTCGAGTATACGGCAGAAATTGCATAATATCGAGGCTCAATATTTTGGCCTCCATGAGACGCACTTGGCAACGCAAAGCGGCGCGCGAATAGATGTTTTGAAAAGAGCTGGACCATTCATCCATCCTGCGATACCTATCAATCTCTGCAATGGCATCTTTCTCCAATTGTTCTTCTGCCTGAGCCGCCAATACACGCTCCATGTCAAAATCGTCCATCTCGTCTGAGGGCCGCTCAGGCTTGCCCAACATAGCATGGCATAGCGATTCCATCAAGGTCGCGACATAGAAGTTGTCCGAATACTGTCGTGGCATAAGCGTCGGGTCAATCAGGCAATGGCTCATGTACTCACCTCGTTGTTTGAGTTGTCGTTGAACTTCAACTTGTCGTAAAGGAAACGCTTGACCCGCATGGGTGTTTTGCCGTTACTGTCACGTACTTTAGATATGGACTCAGGAATGGCTAATTGAATAAAATATGCTGCTCTGTCAGAGAAGTCATTGGAGCGAGTCATTGGGGATCCTGGAAGGCAGAACAGTTCTTGGAAAGCTCTTTCGAGGTGGAACAATCCGACCCATTCAACAGCTTCCGTAGCATGTTTCACCAGAGCTCGAGCGGCAGCCACCCGAATTCCGTAGAAATATCTTCGATCCATCAGTGTTCTGACGAATATGGTCGAAATGAGCTCGTGCTCTCGCTGGATCGCCATGTATTGCAATGACTGGATATCATATATTGTCAGTTCCAGTCCAGTCACCTAAATGAGTAAAGGGGTTGACTGACCTCCAGCTGCGCCACAACATCTCGATCTTGCTGAAGCTGCGACAGGTACATGTACCCTGGCATCGCCAACGAAAGCTTGCATATCCACTCAAAATCTGCATCCATGCGAATCCATTCATAGGACTCTCTGCTCATTCTCTCTTCCTCTTCTTCGCTCCAATCCCTTAGTTTCCATTCAGCAACCTCTTCTTCGGTCTGCAAAACGTCACCGAGACAGTAAAGCAGAACATCTTCCTGAGCTTCGGCATTAGGGTCGCCGCCTGTTACGGCAGCTGCACGCTCCTTTTGTCGCTTGTTTCGTTTGAGACGCTTGTACTTGGTATTATAAGGTATGTCGAACTTCGTAACACCCTCCTTGATTTCCACGATGTGTTCATAAGGCGTGCCATCAGCTTCGTGAATTCTAATGGTCATGGATCCAGTAAAAACCGGCTGGATAACTCCTGCATAGACGCCCCGTATTTCTTCCTTGACATCCCGCATGAACGCATTCTTGTCTAAGTCGCGCGTACTTGAAGCATCAGCTTGCACCTGCCGGATCATCATTTCAACCACGAGCTTCTTCTTGTTGAATCGCTGCGTGGCTTGGAACCGAGGACATCCCGCCCCGTATACCCACTGCTGGAAGAAGGAATCAAGCTTTGCGTGGCCGAGCCGCTCACATGTCCTCTGGAAAAGGGAAGTCGTGACGGCACCATTCGGTATGTCACCCATCCGGGAGTTCAGGAAAAGACGGGAGATGATGCGCGACATCGTTGCCTTGCCACTCGCTTTCGTAAGTCTCCGGTCCAAGATGAACAGAACGAGCGGGGCCTTGAGCGCTATGAAATCAATTTCGGACGGATCTATCGTCAATATCGTACCCATGTCGTAGAGCGACGGACGTTCGTAGTCCAGCTCACATACTCTATCAGACATCTGTTTCAATCGAAAGCGATATTCATTATTCCCGCAGAGCTTCCGCATGAACGTATCCGTGATGTACCAGGCGACACCGACCGTTACCCATGTATCCGTCGCCTCTTTTGGCACGATGTTTACACCAATCCACTGACAGGATAGGGCGTGAACCAGGCTGCGAGTAGAGTCATACATCGGGTCGATAATGTCTTCGGGGAACAAGAGGCGGCTGCTACATATCGATAAACAAGCCGTGGGCAGTGTGGCATCGGGTGTGTCGTCCACGAAGCATATCTTATAGCTAGCGAACGGATACGATCCATAAGACAGTGAGAAAAAGTCAATCGCCTTCGCCATAGGAAAGCAGGTATTCCTGACTTCATCTCCTCTTCCCGGGAGGCAAAATGCGTGCAACGGTATGGCGTTTAGACCAAGCTGTTCGTCTTGGTCGCTTTCGCGGAAATCGGAGAGGTTGATGTATTCGAAGGGACCTACGGCAAATCCAAGTTGCTGGGCAGATAGAGGGGAATAGCAGGCGAACGAAACCGTCTTCTTGGTAGGGTCCTTTGGGTCGATGATTTCATCCGTCAAATCCCCGGAACAGACGACGGACAAATCAAGAGTCTCATCATCCGGAGCGATATACCTTTCATGTCCAGAAGCAGGCTTCGAGCGACTGGGACCCGAGGCGCCGGAATGATCACGGGATTTACGATCAAACATATCACCTAAGGAGCACGGGCACTTGATCGAGAATTCCCAAGTACAGCGCGACAAAGGATCGTCGACGCAGGGGAAGAGAGGACAGCAAGCGCCATACCCTAGGGAGTTGGTTGTATAAGCGTGAGGATAGCGTCTGTCGCCACTCTCTAATCCGACAAACTGCAAACCATCCCGAATATTCTCAATGACGAAGTCGATGGTAACCGTGAGGGCCGTAAAGCGTGGAAGTGACGATTCGGCTGCCTTGGCGCTTAAAGGTCCTTCTGCATCATCAGCGGAACCCGTAGCACGTAAGGTCATTTGGTCTTGAGCTTCAATCGAGGAGGGATCAAGTTCGTCGATCCGGACGCTCTTGGGGACCGTAATGAGAAGGTCAGATTCTGGCGGAGATTTAAGTAGTCCATCTATCTTCGTCGCGAGGCGCTGGTGATAATGAGGGCCGTAAAGTTGAAGCGTGTCATAAGGGTCCGTGTATTTGATGCTAGGTACCTTGCCACTGACATTGATACGCCGGAGTTCGCCTTGTCGGAAATTTAAACGGATAACGCGAAGGTCTTTGTGATGCGGATGGATCGTGAGTTCCGTTTTTCCCTTGAGGCTCTTGCTGGCAAAATCGATCTCAAGCTCGACCTTCTGATGCGCGACGGTGAATCCCAGCTCCGGCCTGACAGGCCCAGCTGGGGTCTCCACGACGCCTGGCATGGCGCAAGATACTCAGTCGTGCACTGCGCCGCGAGCGCCACGATGGCCAACTACCGTCATGTCCAAGCTCCAGGAGCGATGACTATTTCCACCCGACCGCGTTGATCCCGACAGACACTTTGAGTATGATGGTGTTCGATCTCGTGTAGGCGGGGGCGAAGAGACTGTTCACTGGGAAGAGATGGAGAGCTGCTTCGACGGGCGGGGAACAACACCGAAGGGAAGCAAGCAAGCGTTCGAGGTGATCTTGACACTAAGTGAGGTTTGGCACGAAAGGACCGTTCGTGAGGACGGGGATGGGGAGGGATAGAGGAGAGACTGGAATGAGGAGTAGCACGAGAGGAGATGGACGACCTGGGATCGTCCCTCCAACAACCATCAAACTGAACAATCGCTTTTCTATCTTTTTGCCTGTCGCGTTTCTCTTTGCGGTCGAAAGCTTCCCTGCGGAGCTGGCACCGCCACGTGATTCCGATCCGCGGATGGCGCGAGGAGCCGCCCGTTCGTTCCTCTTTCGGTGCCGCATCGTCAACCGTTCGGGTCCCTTTTCTTCGAAACCCTTTTTAACCTTTTTCTAAAGCCTTGGATTCATTCCCCTTCTCCCCTATACATCCCCCCCTCCCTCTATCCTGCAGCATTCCGTTGTCTGTATTCCCCCCTCGTTCATATGCGATAGAGCGTTGACGTCGTCCGTTTGATTGCGCTTTGGTTTCCTTTTCCCCCATCCCCGTCTTGTCCGTCTAGTCGCATACCGCGCGATATGAGCCAAGTTTGATTTCTTCCCCCCGAGATAGTCTTTTCTTTTTTTTTCTGCCCCAACATTCCAGCTGTACATTCGAAATCAAGATGAGTGTAATATTCAAAAAGATCCAAGGTTCGTAATATCCTGCTGCAGCACTCATTCAGTCCAACGTAACTGTAGAGCTAATTCGCGTCGCGCATTGTATAGCGATCCAAGACTCGCTTTCCGACGACGTGCTCTTGCCCCTCAAGAGCTACAAGTACTCGAGTGTCGATAAATCCTATATCTCCAATTATATACTGAGGCATTACGTACTGCCGCCCTGGTCCGATCTATACTTCATACCCTGACGCTGACATGGGCGGGTTAGTGGAATGCATTCGTCGAAATCTTGCCGCTTTGGCTGGCCCCCAACATGGTCACTCTCTTGGGATTTCTGTTCATTGTGGGCAACGTGATGCTCATAGAAGTCTATATGCCTGATCTCGTGGGACCTGTAAGATGACTCGTGGAAGCGCTCTTTATCAGTACAATGAGGCTAACTTGTTGTCATTGTAGGCTCCTTCCTGGCTATACTATAGTTTTGCTCTGGGCATGTGGATGTGAGTATATGGCTACATAGTTGCTGTGATAAACCACTTCTAATAGCGTCCCAAGGTATTCCACGCTGGACAACGTCGATGGAAAACAGGCGCGCAGAACGGGGACATCCAGCGGTTTGGGAGAGCTGTTCGAGTAAGTGGCCAGCCAGGCATAGAATGCAAGGCTCTAACTCTCTCTAGCCACGGAATCGATTCTCTGAACTGCACTCTGGCTAGTCTTCTCGAGACTGCTGCCATGGGCTATGGCTCTTCACAGCTTGGTGCTTACACTGCTCTCGTCCCTTGCCTCGCAATGTACTTTTCGACCTGGGAAACCTACCATACCCATACACTCTACCTTGGCTACTTCAATGGCCCCACTGAAGGCCTTCTTATCGCGATCGCCATTATGATTGCCTCTGGCATCTATGGCCCTCAGATCTGGAGCCGACCGATCGTTCAATTCCTGAACTACCCGCAAATCTTTGGGAACAACTCGATGAAGGATCTCTGGGTCCCCATTCTCCTCCTCTCCTTCTTCCTCGGACACCTGCCAGGCTGCGTCCTCAATGTTATTGCTGCTCGTAGAAAGCAGAACCTTCCGGTCGCGCCCATCTTCAAGGAATGGGTGCCGATGATTGTATTCACGGGCTGCAACATTGCTTGGCTTTTCTCTCCGTATTCGACGCTTTTGTCGGAGAACCGACTAGTCCTCTACTGCTGGACTATCTCGTTTGTCTTTGGACGCATAACGACCAAGATCATTCTCGCTCATCTGTTACGGCAGCCATTCCCCCATTGGACGGTGCTGCAGATTCCGCTCATCGGCGGCGCAATCCTAGCCAACCTTCCCCGCCTGGGATTCCCTATGGTGAGCGCCTGGGTGGAGCTACTGTACCTGCGCCTCTACCTTGTGTTTGCCTTTGTTGTGTACATGCACTGGGCCTTCCTTGTGATTAACAGGATCACCACTTTCCTCGGAATCAACTGTCTGACGATCCGTCGCGACAAGTCGGCAGCAAGAGACAGGGCTTATCGTGAGTTTGGCGAGAACCAGCCCCTCAACCCAAACTCCGATCCCAGCAAAGGGGGTATCAAGAGCCATTGACTATCTTCCTATGATGCGTGTGAACAGCGCATCTGATGGAATAAATACCTTTGTGTTCGCGGTATATAAAATGGCTGCCCAGTCTACACGTTCCCTGTTGAATACTTTGGACCTTAGACTGCGCAACTGGAATTGGCGAGAGCGGAAAACTCGTGCTTTCCTAAAATAACCAGACCCGAGCTGCAGCATCATTTTCTTTTTCCTTACCTGCTGGTTACCTTGGCGACGTACATGTCCTCCCATATCTACGATTCTAATGTCCCCCCTTGGATTATGCCACCAGCATTCAGGCTGATGAACTTACGACATGAGTGGATGGATGACGCGGACGCAGAACAGTCGTCCCTAGTCAAGCTTTTTCCGGTATATAGTTCGATGATAGACAGTATAATAGCTCCTAATGAAATGATAGAGTTGTATAGAGTACAAAATCTTGATTTTTGGACTGTAGCACTCTTATGCAGTAGACGCAGAGCGACCATTAACTGCAGAAGATGCGCACCATGAATGAGACATACCCATCAACGAAGATCATGCGATGACCGAGACCGATTAATAGTTAGGAACACCTTACTAAGGTAGGCTCAGATTAAACTTTGTCGAAGACTGTGTCTGATTCCCATATGGCCCCCACAAAGAAAACCGAGTTATGGCCAGACCTTATCATTATCAGATCGAGTTTCTCAAAGCATTCCATTTCATCGATGGTAGCATTATAATTGCTTTATGAAAAGAGATATATCAAGATCTGGCCTATTGGCTCAATGGTAGAGCGTCGCTCTCCTAAAGCGAAGGTTGTGGGTTCGAGTCCCATGTGGGTCGGAATATTTCTTTTTGTTTTCCATTTTTTTTGACTTGACCCTCGCGATGGCATGCTACACCCCACTCCGCTCTGCCGCAGCTAATTATATATCTTGAGGTTCGGCTGTACGCTGTTAGGAATGTTTCGGTTTTTCTGGTCGATATGATTCATGATGTATTTTTGCATGTGGCCTAGTATAGTTCAACTGTGCTGATTATTTTTTTTTTTCCGCTGCGCGCCTTTTGTTTGTCCAGAGGTCTGAGTAAACATAAATGGGATTCTAGTCTATAGTATAGTCATTTCTCTCTATAAGCTTTGTGGTCTCCACCATGACAAGGCCAAACTAATCAGATCATCGGAAAAGAAACGGCCGTCGATGTACTTGGAGGTCCATCTTTTCCGGGTCCGATAGCGTATAGCATAGCACTGCATGGTGTCCATCCCCTAACATCTCCAGAGACGTGTCGCGCACACGAGCATATTCTGGAATGAAGCCTGCTACCTCACCCTCACTCTCGATAGCGACTACCTGACGCGCTAGGGTTGCGAAGAATCGAGAGTCATATGGCCCTTCGCAATGGGGCCAAGAATCAAGAAGACTTAATGCGCGTTGTCGAGTGGGGAGATCTCGACACCGAAGACTGGTCCAGCCTAGTGGAGCAATGATGCCTATGTCGGCTACTATCTTGGTGAGATCCTGGCCGTACTCTGCCCTCATGCTGTTTATGATGCGCTCGCAAAGGTCCACGAATGTTCGGAACTGTGGTAGATAGTAGTCATATACGAGCTCTGACAGGCTAAGTACGGTTTCCAGATCCACCATTAAGACGATATGGTGGAGTCTTATCGTATCCAAGCTGCGTGCTTCTTTGGTGGTCATATTAGATGGATGGATTCGCGCGCGGAATGCCTCAAAGGCCGAGATATGTTTCATTAGCTGAGTCCGTAGCTTGTGGTGCTCGACGGTGAGTTGAAGGACGTCGGCCATTGGATTGCAGAGCAATGACCGGCAGGTGGTTCGAAAGCGGAAGATGACATTTCCTAAGGGATCTAGCTTGCCTTTCACGTCCTCCAAGCTTTGGAAGTCGAATTCTTGGTTGAAAATATCAGTAGTCAAGTAGCCGTTCTGTGCTCCCAATCTAGTAACGGAGCCAGATACTTTGAAGAACGCGGATTGAGCATCCAGCTGTGCGAACGCTCGCAGAAGTGCCCTTTCGGCAGTAGATTCTTGGGCCGGCTGGAATACCTTTGACATTACAAGGGTACGTGCCTCGTTCCCCTTGCGGTTCGCCAAAACCTGAAGCCCGTTCTGGAGATGAGCGAATGCTTTTGCCCGATTGCCCTGAAGGTATTCAAAGAAAACAAAGGTGACGCAGCACATAAGCACAGCCAAGCGAGCCTGAGGATCGTTTGACTGCAGGCGTTTTTGTAGGGCAGAAATGGCCCTGTTGTACTGCTCGAGCGCGAATCGATGGTGGTCATTACGATCCAAGTCAACTTTCTGCACAAGCATTCCTCTAGCTTCGGAGTCTTGATGCAAAGCCCCTAGAGCAACAACTGCATGGCATACAGCGGTCTCCGCTTGGCTCAACTGGAGTGCCAGTCGCTGCCAAAGTTCCGAATCAAAGAATCCCACCATCCTAGGCACGGTATGTGTTTGGAAGTAGGTAAAACATCGACGTTCGTCTGAACTCATTCCGGGGAGACAGACTCGCAGCTGAAACTTTGGGCGACTAGCATTGTGCAAATGCCCGCCGACACTTGTTGGAAGTCGAGTGAAATCGTACCCATCACAGGTCCGTCCGGTGGAGGTGCAGTTCTTGCACGCTCCAGGAGCCTCATCGCATTTGATTCTTCTCGTCCGACATGTTCGACATCCAGTGCGGGACTTGGGGGCATATTTTCTTCGTCTTTTAGTTTCCATTTCGGACAGTCACGAGCAACGGGAATTCTGCAGAAGCATAAACTTGGACCCTGAGTCAGATCATCGAGCACAGTAATTAGTTAGCTCTCATCCTAGTCGGTTATGGTAACACTAGGGGCGTTGAGGCATAGCTTAGTAAGGTGATGGTGAAGCTCTGTTGGTCAATAGATCGCCACTACCAACTAAGTAGTACTTAGTATCCCTGACCGGCAGCAGTTAGTAGCGCTTACTACGCTTGGTGTCTGCCTCTCCAACCAGCATCAGTATTAATCTGCAGCAGTCAAGGCTGAGCTTATCCTGCCTCGATAAGTCTAGTTCTGTGGGGAAGGTATAGTACTAGTAGCTTTATTCGTGGAATAATCCTTGGTTTGTTCGCCTGTGTTAGCGATGCCCACAGATATATACCTGACTGAAATAATACAACCATGTACTAACTCTTGGCTGTCATAAAGAGAGATGGTTTTGCACTGTAGATGTGACGAGCACAGTATCGAGCGGAAATATAGATGAAGGAGAGCGTAGCATTAGCCTGGAATCTAATGATGAGGCTCTGGGGCACCTGATGTCCAATGGCCAATTCCCCCCCATCACCGCAAGGGAGGCGGGAGGAAGGAGGATCTTCTTTCTTTCTCCGCGACCGGCATGACTGGCCCTCTGTTCTCCACGCCAATGAGCGTGAGACTAGTCGTACTAACTCTCCGGCTTTCTGTCCGGACAACCGGTGATCTCGAAACATGTCCGGTGCTCGAGATAAGTCTTCCCCGCTTTGATAAAGTCTGATAACTGTCGTGTGTCGCTGATAAGGCGGCGGCCATGCTAAAAAGTCCATACATCTAGATCTCCATGTCCACACGAGAATGTTTTGGCACAAGTTATCCTTTGAAACCATTAATACTTAGTGCTCCTAATAGGTCATAATTAGCATGGACAATTCCATAAAATCTGCGGCGCCCATTGCCCAGTCCCTTGAGGATAAAGAGTCTGGCAATATTCGGGTCCAGAATGCAGATGAATTGCGCCTGGCGCAGATGGGTAAGTTCGATGTCACCAAAGCGTCTAGTTCCACTCATCTAACGGAATTTTTACTTGCGATACAACAGGCCATAAGCAAGAGCTGAAACGCCACTTTTCAGTATGGAGTCTCATCGGTCTGGCTGCAAATTGTACCATTTCCTGGACTGGTGAGTTACGTGCCACTACACACTTGAACAAGGGTGTATGCTGGACGCCCAAAAAGAATCTAACCTATATCTCAATAGGACTCGGCCTAGGTCTCATCACTTCCATCAACGCTGGCGGTCCCGGTGCCCGTACGGAGCCCCGTAACTCTAGAACAATGCCATGAGATTGACCTTCCCAGTTATCTACGGATTTATCCTCGTCTTTATCCTGCAATGCTTTCTGGGAACATCACTAGCGGAGTTTGTTTCTGCGTACCCAGTCGAAGGTGGGATGTATCACTGGATTGCAGCCATTGCTCCGAAACGTTACAGCAATGTGTTAAGCTTTGCGACTGGTTGGAGCACAGTGTTCGGCTGTATGAGCCTCGACAATATCTGCTAAGTCATTTGATGCTAATGTCTATAGGGATTTTTACCACTGCCTCAACGAACCTCGTGTATTCCTCGAACTTCATCGCCCTCATTGCCTTGTACAGACCCAATCTTGTTGTGCAGCCTTGGATGACTTTCGTTGCGTACCAAGGGTTCAACGTCATAACCTCTGGAATCGTCATGTTTGGCAATAAGTGGATGCCAGCAATCAACAAATTCTCGTGTTGGTATAACTTTCTCAGTTTCTGTGGCTCACCTGCTGATATGAGTGATGGAACAGTATGCTACCTTCAACTAGCCTGGTTTGCCATCCTGGTCACCGTCGCAGCTACTGCTCCCAAGCACAACGACACAGAATTCGTCTTTCGAACCTGGATAAACGAAACCGGCTGGAAGAACAATGTCGTCTGTTTTATAACGGGCCTAGTCAACCCTCTGTACAGTCTAGGCGGCCTAGATGGGATCACTGTATGTATTCCAGTTTGCGTTGCATGGAAGTAATTACTAATTAGAACTACAGCACATCACCGAGGAAATGCCAAACGTAAGTATCACACTTTAGCTCCTGATCAGAAGCTAAACTATACACTGCAACAGCCGGGAAGAAACGCTCCTTTAGCCCTAGGTACGCCAAAAGCCCTCGTTCCTCTATAATATATACTAACGCAACTGTCTTCTTAGCTTGCACACTCGCCATAGCTTTCGTCACCGGTTTCGCCTACCTTCTCAGCCTCATGTTCTCCGTCCAGGACTACGCAAGCCTCGCCGACTCCCCAACAGGTCTTCCCCTCGCAGAGCTCTTTCGCCAGGCAACCCAAAGCCGCGGAGGTGCCTTTGCCCTCGTCTTCCTTCTCTGGGTTGCAGTCGGACCATGCGTGATCGGCTCACAGCTGAGTATGACTTAACTGCCTCTTCAAGCTACGAATCAACCATTTCATATATTAACGATGTAACTCCAATAGGCACCGGGCGAATGCTCTGGGCATTTGCCAGAGACGACGGACTTCCCTTCTCTAAGTTGTACGTCCCACACCAACTAACCCATTAACCCTGGACCACAGACACTAACCATATCCCAAGTTGTTCCAAAGTCAACAAACGATTCGGAGCTCCCGTCAACGCCCAGCTATGCGTGGGTATCATCATTGCACTTTTAGGCTGTATCTACCTTGGTTCCAGCACCGCATTCAACTCGATGATGAGTTCTGCTGTGTACGCACCCCATCACTCCCCCGCAACCCCTTATACATCAAGCGAAAGTCCCCCATAATACTGACCTGCACCCGCAGAACAATCAACAACATCGCCTACCTCGTCCCCATCCTCACAAACGTTCTCCTTGGTCGCAAAACCATGCACCGTGGCCCATTCTCATTAGGATACGTATCAGGAATGACGGTCAATATTATCACTGTTGCATGGCTGGTCTTTGCAATTGTGTTTTTCTCGTTCCCTTATGATATGCCTGTTACTGGTGAGTTCTATGTTATACTTTTAGCCTAATTTGTGTTGATATCGAAACTTATCCGTGCTAACTTCTACATGACAGCCTCGAATATGAATTATACGTGTGTATGTGTCGGTGGGTTCCTGCTGCTGGAGCTATTGTGGTGGATTGTGGCGGGAAAGAAGTATTCGAGACGGATGGAGAAGGTAAGGGAGGAAGAGAAGAACGCCTCGCAGGCGGTGGTGGTTGATCTTGTGGGGAAGAGCTGAGTTTGTGGTTTGGTTTTTTGTCTTGCATGGATTGACCGAGCTTTAGTCAAGTTTGAATTTATGATCTATGATTGTGTATTTATTAGGAATAATCGGGATGTTCTGGACTATGATACTGCATGTGCCCCGTACATGCATATATGGCTATTTATGGCCATTGAGGTTAATTTAAATCCTTGACGCTAAATAAAGTATACTGTGCATATGCATTGCGGATGGCGGGAGAAAGTCGATGTAATAACGTCGCAATTCTTGCATGCCTGCAGTGCAAGGTGGCTGACGTGTTGGAAAGTCAAGTCATGATTGTTCTGAGTACTGAGCTAGAAGTCAATTAAACGCCCATATCCGCAATAGGAAATATGGCGGCCACATATAGCGTCCGATGGACGAATTGTGGAAAAGATGATTAGCGGTCTCCAAGCCTCTCAGAGCTTCGATCCTTCAATTTCAGTTTTGTAAGCAAGACGGCCCCTTCAGCTGCAAGTGAAGATGCATCTGCTACCGTCCAGATGAATGGGGTAAACTTTGCGCATTAATATATAGCAGCTCAAAGGCTGCATTAGTGCTATCGCTTGTCTAGTCGATTTCGACCCTACATTTGCAGGGGTTGTTGTCCCTACTTGGATCGTCACCCAATGCAATAATTATCCGAGGCAGGCGTTAACATCGTCGAGTCCGTTATATCAAATAGGTGTAGCTAGATATTGAGTTCAGTGATATGCTGAGATTAACACAGTCTCCCGAATAAGAAATCTTTGACGACTGGTGAGCTGGAAAATTCAGGGTTCAAGAGGACACAGCTATGCCGATTGATGTTAGCTATCAGCCACGGACAAAAACCATGTTCCTGCTGCTTACTTCAAGAAATATTCCAATCCAACCCTGCGGGACTCAAGAAACGAAGGGCGAAATTTGACTGGGTGTCATCCGTCAGTCAGCCTCATGACTCGTGTGGATTGTCTCAGACGTACATATAACGCTCTTGGGAGGAAGAGGAGGTAAGGCATTCTTCGCATGTGGGAAGGATGCCACCAATCGTTGTCGCAAGTCGTCGAATTCGGAGTATCTAGGAACAGAAATATTAGCAAAGACCAACGATTGAGTGCATTTCCCAAGATCACCTTAAGCGAACAGTGATGGGACCACCCTACAAGTCATTAGCGCATAGATCTCCTAAGAGCATGGTGAGATAGCATCGCATAGCAATGACGAGAGCCTGGAGAGAGAACGCTGACGTACATCCAGTGTCTGTATCCTGCAATTCCACACGACATAGGATCCGATGCCCGTCTTGCCTTGTACGACGACATGATCATCGACAACCACACTTTTCGCCCACAAACCACGACTAGTCTCGCAATCTGGATCCTCTGTATGGTCCTCTAATGTAATTCCTGGCGCCTGGTCGAGAGAGATGTGTGAAGCCCTGGATGCGTTTCTATGGTGGCTCCAATACGGCGGAACTATGCCGGACACCGGACGGTCCTTATTCGAAAGGTCCTGTGCCCGAGGAAGAATCGATCCGTTGCTCACAGCGACCCCGTCGGAGAGGGACGCAGCTATAGTATCATTGTTTATGATGTCCGAAGGAGGGGACGAGGATTGGGTAGGTGAGGAAGGGCGAGGCTGGTGCGGAGGCACGGAGGCGATGTCCTCATTCGCTGGCTCCATCCATCTAGATATTCGGTGGACGGGACAAATGCGAGCCTGGCTGTCACTAATAATAGGTTGGTAAACGGCGTGCAACCACGAAAGAGGAGATGAGTGGCGGGGGATGGCTAAATGTTTGGTCACATACGGGAATTACTAGTGAAGCTTGCTGGTACAACAGGAGGTCTGTGTACTGCGTTTCAAAGCCACAGGGTGTCAGCCCGGGTTTAGGTCAGGTATAGCTCGGTATGATACCCGAGAGTGAGAGAAGCGGAGACTCTGAAAGGAGGGGAAAGGGATGTTGATAAGATAGAATGTCTCAGATGGGGAAGGGATTGCTGCTTGAAGCCCATGGACTGACGATCGATATCAAGCCATTGCACCGGCCACGCTCCGTGTTCCGAAAGGAGCCAACGGGGATCACGGGACCACGTCGCCCAACGCCTTCCCAGAAGGAGCGAGTCATGTGCTGCTTATCTAGCACCCGCAAAGACATACAGTACTGTAGTTACTGTAGTAGGTCTGTTCGGTATGGGTGAAAGTATGATAAATTACCACGAGACATCTAGTTCGAAGGTTATGCTTTTTGTTTGAAAGAGATCTCCATTCTGCATCAAAAATGAGACCCAAAAAAAAGGTCACGCAGGAAGCTTTCTTTGTGCAGCAGAAGCAAGACTCAAAACCTCTCAGGATTAGGCTAGTTAATCTGGATAATCCAATTCCGGCCGCATTATTTCCCGCTAGCCAATTTGGCGCAGACTAGTTCATTCCTCCTAGTCCCAACTAGGGCTAGTGACCAGGGTCCACGCTAGAAAAAGCCAAGAGTAGCCTTGCCCAATCAGGCATTCTCCAGTAATGGAGGATCGCCCAGTCGGTGTCCTTCAACTGAGACAATGCGGGTTCCCTCCCCCCAATCCTGCTCCAGCCGAGGTGCGGTTGCTTTCCCCGTCCCCGTCGGCTGTCAGCCATCTGGAGAGATTCACCCTATCAACTGGGTCTCTTTCTGAGACATCCTCACACCATCAGAGGCTGGTCTGCTGCTTTCTGTTCCATGCAGAAGTCAGGCGCGCTGGCAAATTCTCCCAAACCTGCAGTCAATGGCTGAACGATAACTAAACATAGCAGCAAAGCAAGCAGGGAGGAAAGAGGGGCCATGTTACCTGACAGGCTAAATCGATATTGCAACCCGCCAACGAGGGTTCAGACAGAAACTTAGTCCTATCTGCTATCGTACTGTATGGAGCTTTTGCTAGATGACTTTCCAATCGGCTAGTGGTACCAACTCGACCGGACTCTCTTCCGGCATTTCTTGTCTTGCTCCCTCGCCTCTGTCTTCAACCTGTTTTGGCCCCGTCGTTGTCATTGCCCCCGGTGGGTAAAGAGTCATACGGTCAATGGGACCGGACTCCAGTCATGAAAAGAAAAGAAGAAAGATGGAGACTAGCCACTCACTTAGCTCTTGCCAACCCGGCCTGGAATTTGATGGCTGGATCCAGAAGAAGCCGTCTGGAGCTTTAGGGAACTGATAGCGCCGCCACCACCCCAAGCTGACCTCGCGTAACGGGCGAAAAGTAGTACGGTGTGCGTGAATACTTATACCGAGCTTGGAGCGCCAGCTTTTTCACTATTTATCGCTTGCCCTCTTGGCTTTCTAATCTCTTTTCTCTCGGTTCTCTCTCTGGCAGTTCTGAGCTCTTGCTAATTTCCTATTTGAGTTCCCCGTTGTTGATATCACTACCAGCTCACTCCATCAAATTGGCATACTACCTGTCCAAAACTCTACTACACTTCAAGCTGCTTTAGACTGAACACGTATGTGCGAGACTATCATATCTCCCAGATTCCCATTCATTAGTTACAGAGATCAACACTGACATCTTGCATCATCTTCACAGTTCAAGGTCCTTTCTTTCAGTATCCCTCAAGTTCCGCTGTTGTACCCACCGCTTTTACGCCACTCGATATGCTTCTCCTCCGTCCCCTCATTGCTATAACCTCCGTGGTTGGCCTGGTTCTCTCGCAAAACACCTCCTCCTCCATTGACCCCAATAGCGTCCCGATCGAAACAAGAAGTATGTTCTCTCTGCAGGCAATACTATGGTGCCAAATGTCTCATCTAACTGTGTAACGATAGACCAATGGTGTCAGGCTCAGACCTCGTCATGTCCATTACTATGTTATCAGTTGCCAAACACATCGGGCTCACCCAAAGAAAACACATGCGACGCTGTGAGTGCGAATGATAAACCTATTATCTATCCAATGTACTTCATCTTGACTGATGCAATGAGGTCTAAATGCAGAAAACTCTCAAATACCAGTGCATCTGTGGCAATGGCCTGAGTCCCAACTCATCTCAGTACTCGCAGACCATCCCATACTTTATTTGCACTGAAGAGAATGACGAATGTGTCACTAAATGCAATGGTGACTCGAGCTGCCAGTCAAACTGCCGGTCTCAGCACCCCTGTGGTGCACAGGACCCCAAGCGTGTAAACGTGACGTCCACCGCTGCTTCCACTACTGCCGCAGCCACAACTTCCCTTCCGCCATTTACTGGAGTCCCTGATAAGGGAGCAGCAGCCAGGCCGTCGACTGACCTTGGGCAGGTATATGGCCTGGTTGTAGTTGTGGGAGCTTTCCTGGCTGGGTTTACAACATTGCTTTGAGACCAGGCTACCAGTCAGTATGAAGTTTATGCCATCTCTACCAAGTCCAAGATTGGAACATTTGTAACGGGGCATGCCACATTTATGTAATAGTCACTTTTCGCGCATGATTTGTTGATCTCTGAAATATTCTTCTTTCTTCACTGAGAGCGCTCGCAGCTAATTGATGGGGGCGTCTTCTTTCAAAGTCGACACAAGTTATGTAATGGGAATTCATGAGACCATCCACTCTTTCCAGATCTAATAGAGACTTTGATCCAGGCGTGCTACATTTGAGGCAGTAGTGCGCAGTTTCTGATGTCCAAATGAGATACAAACAATTTACCCAGCTGGGAGTAAAAGGCTGCAGGGGATGGCATCGACTGGTAGCTATGTTGCGAGACGAGCGACTGTTTATCCCCGAAAGGTATCCCTGGGCATTTGTTGCTTTTGAATCAGAAAGCAGCAGTATGGTGAAGACACAGTGAGTCGAGTTTGGAGTGGAGATGTACCGCGCGATGGTCATTTACACATTCTTACACTCCTTGGAAGAAGAATTCTCCACCTTCTGCTCTTAATGTACTGATACTATTCTTCCTGGGACCTTCTACCAAGAAGAGGATCACTGTCGACGACTGGGACGAGAATTCCCCAACTCTTACTTGCCCCTCTTTACCACAAAGCATGGCTTATGTGCATCTTCTTCTCAGAGAGGTCAACAACATCCGCACTCAGAGCAACAACAACCTCTCTTCTCCAAGTATTGGCAGCAATTGTCCCCGCTTCTTTCCTATCTTGCATTCACTCTTCCAATGTGTTCAGCAACTTCTTTGGGCAACTCACAACACTGGCGGGTCTGCGGTTGGCCGGGGCAGGTCACCCCAGTGTTCCTGCCAATTTAGTCGACACGGAACCCATTCACTTCTTCCTTTGCAACACCTTTCCTTGCGCTGATTCTGTTTCCCCCTCGATGACAGTCTTCTACTTCTCCCACACATCGAAAGGACTTAATCCATTTATTTCATCTCCGGCTACTACTCGTGTCTCTTCATCACCCCTTGTTTCTTAAGGCTATCTCTCATCTTATAACAACCTTCCATTTAATCTTGAGTCTGTGAGAACGAGCAATAACCGCCAAACTGCTCTTTGCCTTGCCTTGTGTCTGACCATCTTATCGTCGTCTTTGAGGTTAGGCCTCGTGGGTTTCGCTTTCTGTTACAAACAACATGCCTGGTGACCGCGTAAGAGCAGTGCTCATCATCAGTTATAATCCTACTCTAATAGCTACTTTAGGGATCCCGTTTCTGTCGTTTCTGCTTGAGACCTGGACACGAAGATACGCAATGTAACTTCCTCACACTTTGCCGGGGCCTATATGAACTTGTACGTTGGACTGGCTGTTACAGCGCGGCTACTAATCCTCATGCAGTCTCTCATGATATCACACCAGCCTGGAACCAGAGTGAACCTCACGGAAACTCAAAGAGCTCTCGATAGGATCGTGACCCGTCGCAACAGAAACAGACGACGAGCAATCAGACGGCGCGAGCGTGTTCGAGCAAGAATGACAGATGTTGTAAGTACTCCGTGAGCTGAATTGTCAATATTGCACAGTGCTGAGTACATCTGTTCAGGCGAGACGTGGAAATCATGCTCTAAATATTGTATGTACTCTGCAGCTATTTGACAGGGACTAGCCATGACTTTATGCTAAGGCCATCTGATGTAGAGCCGACGCGGTCCTATACATGCTGTTGCAACAATGCCCAGGTAAGATATATGATTCTTTCCTGGAATATGGTGACTGATGAGATAAGTGTTCCATCAAGCATGCTTAGACTGCCTGCTATTCCCCCAGCTGCGTAGGTGGTCCATAATCCTTATTCCATGTTCTCACTAACTAAGCTGGTTAAGACTGACCTCTGGCCCCGCGAATGCCCAAGCCATTCCAGCGGAAGAAATGACGTTGCCTGCGCACCACCTACCGAGCCGACCTGCCCCTGAGGCAGAGAGTGTATCATCAGTCCCCACTGCAACTAGGTATGTTGTTTCGAAGCCAAGCTACTCGAAAAATGATTATCTGACTGTTGTATTAGTGACACTGACGTGACGATGGGTGTCGAGTAAGTATAATCCCAGTCTTTGGTGCCGATCTCCGTAATAACACTCCAGAAGAGACCTTGAAATCAGTACAAACGCTACAGATGCCAGGTAGGGCCCCATATAGTGTATGGTAGAGAATTATACTGATTGCAATTCTCTCTAGTCGGTCACAATCTGCGGATGATCTGATCGTTCTCGATACGCTCGACACAGCCGATGATTTCGTGGTGATGAACTCAAGTCAGACTAACGAGATAATCGAAAATCACTGCACAGAGTTGTTTACTATTGTGTAGCAAGGCCTGTTGTGACTGCCTCTTCGCAGTGTTTCTAGGGCTTTTAGTGGGGACATGGAGTGTTGCGAACCTAATGGTAACGCAGAACAGCTGTCAACCACTGCAAGGGGTATTTGGGAGAGACATTGTATCTAAAGATACAGCCTGAAAAAATTTACTATATCGGGTGTGACTATCTAGGTACGACCAGTAATTATGTAGTAACTGGAGACCAGTTAGTATGCAGGCACTGGCCTGATGGTGGCCTGAGGAATAATGTAGGGATAGCTACAAGGCGGTCATGAAGGCGGTAAATGCAGCCTAGGCAGCTACGTCGATAGATCGGGCCAAATGATGCGGCCGTCGGTGACCTTTGCGATAGATCATCTCACCCGCACATCCCACCTTGCCGGCTTGCATACTGCTGTTTTAATTTGCAGATTGCGCTTCATACTACTGAGTGGCCGACCTTGCTGGATCATCATATATGAACTTGGAAGAAGCCGTTCCTTGACATCCGCAGACGCCTACGCCTTAAAGACCCGCTCGTTCTCCACTTCGCCTCTACCTGTGCGGCGTTATCACGCCTGATTTACTGCATTCCAACGTCAGGAGTTTCGTGGATACTCGACTACACATCCCGGAGGCTACGGACCGAACAAGTCTCTCCATACGATTTGCTCTTGGCCCCATACATCGTTCTATATTACCTCGCGTGTCAGTAGCCGAAAGCCGCACGGAATTGACGACATGGATTACACACAGTCAGACCCTTTCTATGGGGCTGTTCCAGCTCAAAGTGCTGGGTCAGTCACTGGTGCCGGGGGCGTGGACTTAGAGTCTTTGGGTGGAAATGTAGCAGGTCCTCTGGTGAAAGTTGATGGTATGTTGGCTCTGTTGGATTGATCCAAAGGAACAGCGATGAATAACTCATTTTCCAGATCCGCCTAAGTTCGAACTCGAGTCATATATTGCGAACTACACCGGTACGTTACGCCTCAGAGCACACGCGCTCCTTGCTGTGGCTAACCCCGCTTCTTTCTCCTAGGCCGAACCAGATTCAGTCGACTGTTCCTCATAGGCACATGCTCCACTTATCTCTCTGTCGAGGCATTGAAGGCCGCAGTTGCAGAAGCCAAGGGCGGCAGGGATGTTTCCAGATACGAAAATGCAGTTCGGGCACTTGCCGAAGTTGCACCCGGTGACCCTGAGGCAACGCTTGATACAAACTGGGTGGATCATATGAAGAAGTCTGTCAAGGCGGAAACAGATCGACTAGAACACGAGCTCAGAGGCTATAAGAACAACCTGATCAAGGAGAGCATAAGGGTACGTTAAGATGACTCTGGTGAGGTGACTGGAAACCGTTTTCTAACTGCTTATAGATGGGCAACGAAGACCTCGGGCAACATTACAATCAGATAGGTGACCTTGTGTCGGCTTCCAAAGCATACTCTCGTATGAGGGACTATTGTACCACACCAACACACATTGCGTCGATGCTGTTCAAGATTATTAATGTCGCAATTGAGCGCGGCGACTGGCTCAATGTGCAGACGAATGTGCACCGGCTACGCAATCTGCAATCGAAACAGGAGGAGCAAGCCAAAAACGAGCCCAAGATGTCTGCTGCGCTGGGCCTTTCCCAGCTACACTCTGGTGCATATGTGGATGCTGCGAACAGCTTCTTGGCCACCGATCCGAGCTTAGGAGACTCTTACAACGAAGTACTCACATCAAACGACGTTGCAGTCTACGGTGGGCTCTGCGCGCTGGCATCAATGGACCGCAATGAGCTACAACGTCGCGTCCTCGACAACAATTCATTCCGCAACTTCCTTGAGCTGGAGCCGCACATCCGCCGGGCGATCTCATTCTTCTGCAACTCTAAATTCCGAGCCTGCCTTGAGATTCTAGAAGCCTACAAGGCCGACTACCTCCTCGACGTCCACCTACAGCGCCATGTCAAGACACTGTTCACGCGCATCCGCACAAAGTCCATCCAACAGTATCTCGTACCCTTCAGCCGCGTGACCCTCGAATCCATGACGAAAATGTTCGCCCCGGGAGTCATAGGCGGCCAAGCAGACCCCACAGACTCCAACTCTCCCTTCGTGCAGGAGCTCATCGAACTGATTCAGGATGGAACTCTCGACGCGCGCATCGACTTGGAAAAGAAGGTGCTGGTCTCCAACCAGGTCAATCTGCGCACTGACGTCCAGCAGTCCATCCTGGATAGTTTGGATAATTACATCCGCGAAGCACATATTCGTGTTCTGCGAACTAACATTATCCAAGCTGGACTGGAAGTCCGTTCAGACGAGCGACGACCGAGAGATGACCGGGGAAAGGGCGGGGATACCTTTGGCAATTTCCTTCCGCGCGGTCCGGGGGTCATGTAATGCTACTAGCCAGTTAGTTAGCCAGCCAGCCAGTCAGCTGATGAATGAGATACGACAAAGATTATCAAATTACCACTAGCTATTTGAGATACCTTCTCTTGTACCACAACCATCTTGTATGGTTCACATAATGCGAAAGAAGTAGGTTAATCGATTCACTTTCTCAGCCATGTTGATATGTGGGGAGACATAGCACGTGAGATATATCTATTACAGAAAACTAGTTTCTCCAAGGACAGTACTTTATTTCTTGTACTTCATGAGTACTGAAGGATTTTTGTAGTGTGAAAGATTGGAGTGGCTCCTATTCGCGTTCTCAAATAGAGAGAAAAACACCTTTGTTTGGATCTGATGCCGAGAAACACATCAGGTCATTGAGTACTTTAGTACTGTTGGTAACACAATACGATCCTCATCCGGTCATTTCCTAGGACTAAGACGATTGTAAGTTGTGTATTTGCTCTTCGCTTTTTATGCACGTGATGTAAGGTGTGTCTAATGTCTATAGTGGATGTTGGTTTGTGTGAACTAGAAGTAGATGAAGGAGGTCTTGTTGGGACATACATATAGTATAATATGGAACTTCTTCCCTGAATATTATCAAAGTATACAACTACTGACAGAGTGTAAGCATATCTCAACTTGGATGGTATCAATTGACATGATAATATTGAGGTGATTAGAATCATAATAAACACATCAATAAGGGTAGTAGTAATAGTAGTAGTAAATAGATAGACATATAGAATAAAAAAAAAGAAAAAAAAAAGAAACCATTCTTCACTTGTGGTACATGATCATCAATGAACCCAGCCACATTTTCCCATCCAGCTTGCGCGCAGTTCTAAATGTAGGGTTTTATATGCTGACATTGTGTAGTTTATGTTGTATATCCTTTTTCCGATATACTATGATACCTGCTTCGTTTTCCACTTATGGAACACTCACATCTCTACTTCCACAGCTCATCCACATTACCTATATGGGTACTGTTTAAGCCATAGCCAGAGCAACCATCATGGCAGCACCACCAGCAACCCACTGGCTAGCGCCAGTAGCAAACGCACCACTGTCACTGGTGGTAGTAGCAGCACCGGTAGAGGCGGCAGAAGAAGAAGAGCCAGAGGCATCACCCGTAGCAGAGGCGGTGGAGGCACCACCGGTAGCAGTGCCAGTGGCAGAGGCAGTAGAAGTGATGGTGATGGGGACCTTGTTAAGCTGAGTGGTGGTAACACCGCTGGATGAGGAAGTCTGGGTGTCAATGTTGTAGGTGAAGGCACAAGAAGCGACAGTGGTGCCGGTGAAGGAGCAGGTGGCCTGTTGGGAGCTGTTGTTTTGTCTGGTAAGTATACAGACAGATATTAAATGGAATTGTGGGGGTCAGGCATGTGGGTTAGCTTACAATTGGTTACCGGAGGAACTGAAGGCCCAGGTGCTGCTGCCGACGGTCAGGGTCTCGCCGCTGTCGGGGATGTTGCAGCTGTCGTTGAAGTCATCGTCATCATCATCGTCAGAGCTGGAGGCGGTGGTAGCACGCTTGACGACGGCGGCGCTGGTGGTTGCGGCGGTGGCAGCGGGAGAGCTGGTCACGGAGGCGCTGGCTGTCGCCGGGCAGTTGATGACCAGGGTGGTGAGGTCGCCGCCAGTCTAGAGTGAGAGTTAGATCTGGAGAAGCATAAGATGGCGAGAAGGGGGGGTGTTTGGAGAAGACGTACGGTTCCAATCAGCTTGGCGTTGTAGTTCTCGCCGCTGGCGGAGGAGGGCCAGAGGACCGAGATGACATCGTCAGCGACGACGGTGGAGGCAGTGGCCAGGAGGGCCAGAGAGGTAGTCAATTGGAGACGCATGATGTGTGATTATATGGCTGAATTAGGGAGGAGGGTATATAGGGTTGTATGTATGTGAGGACTTAGGGAGAATGAGGAAAAAAAGGAGGATGAGAGTTGATTTGGATTGAGACTGTCTTGGAACATGTTCGCTGGGCATGGCGAGGTAAATAAAGGCCCGTCAGGATGGGGTCGAGGGCCATGGGGGCGAAATCCATTTTTTTCCCTCTCCCCTGGCGTGTTGGAAGGCAGACGGGCAAATGGCGGCGAGGCTGAGAGGGTTGGAGATGGACAGGGTCTGGCATCAAGCGCTGTTGGGGGCGCAGTCAAACATCGCAGTGCAATTGCCCAATTGGCCATAGCCAGGAAGCAGACCCTCTCGCACTAATGGGCGCTGAGAAACTAACAACACAGCCTAGAGAAGAACCTGTAAGCGCTGACGGATGGAGGCTTTTGGATGTGGTGGTGGTGGTTGTCTGGTGGAGCTGCTGATGGAGCCGGGGAAATTAGATGGATCGAGGATCTCCCTCAAGATCATGACAAGAGTTCTTCCGCGCCCTCGAAACCAAATAGTAATTTGGATTCATAGTACAAGAGTTTTCCTTTTGGTTCATTCTCACTTCTCCTGATTCTCTCCGTGAAACGGAGGCACGGCAGCCAAACTGGGGCCAGACGTGGGGGCCGAAATTCTTCGTTTCAAAGCGCCGCAACAAACAAAAAACTCATTACTAGACTAGATATTTAGTCGAACTGAGCCACGGTAGACTACAGGCGCCGGCTGCGGCTCATCGTTCAAGCTAAACAAAACCCATACTAATTCTTCTAGCAGGCGGGCTACTGCATTGAATCCTTGTCTCCTAGACAAAGAAACACATAACAATGGAGACGCTACTACACACCGAACCCAGCTGGTCCGGCGGATCGTGAGTGCCCAATGAATCCACTCACCAGGCCTGCCAGCAGCAATGCCCCATTGAACCCAGCCATGATGTAGAACGGTGCTCCCGACGACAGCACATCGAACAAGAGCCCACCCAGCTTGGTCAAGAGCAGGATACCCGCTCCACCGTACAGGGAATATACCCCAGCAATTGAGCCCTTCAGGTGCGAAAGATGCCGCTCTTTCCGGCCGGGACGATGGGCCACGAGTGGTCGGTCTTCTCCGTGCTCCTCTTCCTCGTCGTCGACTGGGTTGTTCTCGTTTTCCTCCTCATCCTCACCCTCATCTTCGCTGGGTTCACTCGGTGAACTCCACCAGTGGTCTTCCACCCTACCTACCTCGCTCAAACTGAGAATACCGCTGCTCAGCACTGATAGACTGCAGACAATCGCTCCAATTTGGCTGATACCAACCAAGCCCATCACTACAAATACACCGGGGCTGCCATTCTCCCCACTGAATTCCGGACTGGGCAGCAAGGCAAACGTGGTATAGCCCACAAGGCCGGCAAAGCAAGCTGCCAAAAGCGGCACGTGACGGCGTCGCGATCGCTCCGATAGATAGCCGAAGGCTGGCGCTGCAAGCAGCGCGACTAGCTGAGAGACCCCTGTCAGAATCGAAGCGAGCACATAGGCTTTATGGCATGACTTTTTTAGATCGCCAGGGTTCTCAGCCTCGCCATCTTGGTTCCCGCACAGCCCCGACATGCGATAATAATGGTTAACAGCGAGCGGGATGAACAGCGAGATCCCCACGGACGACGCCCGCGCCACGAATCCGCCCAAGTAGCCCAGAAAAATATCTGAATTTCGGAATCCCAAGGCGAACGCAATGCCCAGCTGCTCGAGGTATGGCAATTGGAATTTGCGGGCATACGAACACGCCTCGCCGCTATCCGGCGTCCCGCGCCGACGTGCGGACCACAGCGAGCTCCATGACTTGCCCTCTTCTCCGGGGAGGTTTCTCAGCCCAAAGAAACAGAGGATACTGATGACTAGAGATACCACAGCCACAAGATAGTAGCTGCGCTGGATAGCTTCCGCAGGGGAAAGTCCTGATTGCTGGAACCGAGCTGGAAGGGGCAAGAAGATGACGAGAGCAACGAGCGCGCCACATCCCGCGCACATGCCTACATATCCAGCCAGTCGGGAGGATGAGCTCTTACTCGTCCGGGAGTCTGATGTAGAATGATGCTGTGATGATGAGTGTGAGCCGGCTACGGCTGGAAGAACGGCTGTGACCATTGTTGATACTGCGGCGCCTCCAAGACTGAACAACAGCCTTCCCAGGAGTAACTGGGGGTAGACATTTTTCGCTTGAACGAAGAGGACCAAGGCAAGCGCCACAATAGCATAGCCGGTAGTGCAGACCTATGTAATAGACACAATGTATGAGAAGATTTACAACAAGTGAACTGGCTTGGGGGGTAAATAGCAACGGGGTGAGCGCTTACATGACGGACGCCGATGCGATCCGACAGCACTCCCCACAAGGGGCAGGCGACCAGGGCAAGCAGTTCGTCGGCAAAGCCCAAGGTTCCGACCGCATCACCTTCTCCGTCACGGAGTCCAATTAATTCCGTGACGACGAATGAGATGGACGAGTTGATGAAGACCAGGAATGCAATCGAGAATGGACACACGCCAAGCAGGTAGGTCCATGTTTGCACGCGGCTGGCCGTGAATAGTGTCCGTGGAGAAGCCATGGTGAGAATAGTCTAGACAGGGGAGAGGGAACGTTAGCTCATTCCGGCTTGGATGGATGTCCAAACTAATGGAGCGGTTCTGTCGAGCTGCTTGAGCTTTATCCAGAGCCCGTCCAACAGTTTATTTGTACTGTCTGATTGATATGATCTGGACTTTCCGTCCATCGAAGCTGATAATCGGTGACCGATGACGGAGCTGTCAATCACACCGGATGCCGGCCAGCTCTCCGTCACCTGATCAAGTGGAGAGGAAGACGAGTAACACGTCAATAAGCAATGTAGTAATAAGTTAAGCTTCCAGAAGCTTCAGACTTTCTCTAGTACACATAAGTCTGTATGTGATCTCGTGACCTGCATCTAGAAAGATCCCATCAACTCCATTTCATAACTGTAGATTGATTAATATTCCAAGTATCCAAGCATGGACAAGACAAGAATGAAGACCAAACGCCGAAAGAAGTAATGGACAGTCAGCTGCCAAGGCGGTGACTCCAGGATTGGTAACATTACGCAGTACCAGGTACCGGGCGATACCGAGTAGTAGATTAGCTGTCCAGAACATCTCCATCCATCCATTCATCCACCCATTCTTCCCCCCATCCTGGCTCTGTTCTCCACGCGATCTTCCTCATCTTCTTTCCCTCTTAGTGATTACTGCTTACCCTCTTCTTCTCAACCTCCCATCAATGATCTTTTAGAGAGTTCACCAGCCCAGCTGCTACGCCCTTGTTCATGAAAGCGGGCATTGCGCCCACCCTACTCTCCCCGTCGCCATGAGATTGGCCGTGTATGCTGGGGTATGTCGCCCTCAGCTTGCTCCTTGTTGTAGATCCAGTCTGACTTGTCTTCATAGGCCTCAGCTGCCCTGGCAACTGGCGTCTTCTTAAAAGCGCTGCATCAGAGAGCAAACTTCTATGCTGCATGCGTATACCTCTCGCAGAGCAGTGCAAATCTCATGGTAAGCTTTCCCCGCCCCGGGTTTCAACAGGCGCTCCATCGGCGCTCCCAACATTGGATGCCTCACTCCTCTTTTATGAATTAGCTAACATATTATTGCTTAGATCTTGATGAACATTAGCCTGCTAGCGGTCGGCTTCTTTTTATTCTGGCTTCAACGTCTCCTTTACGGACCTCTTCGACCTATAGAAACGGAACAGCTCTACGAGAAAGCATGGTTCGCCGTGACAGAGACATGCTTGGCGATGACGATTTTCAGAGGAGAGTTGGGCGGTTGGTTCTTGGTCATGTTCGTCTCCTTGCTGGTTGGAAAGGTCTGGGGTTGGATCGGCGAGGGTCGGGTCGAGTTTCTTGAGCAACAACCCCCAGCAAATCCGCGATTGTTCCACATCCGACTCGCAGCCTCGCTGCTCCTTTCAGTTCTCTTCAACTCGCTTATGCTGAGATATTGCGTCCGCACCGTCCTTGAACAGGCACGGCCCGATATGATGGTCATGTTCGGCTTCGAATTCGCCGTTCTCACCATCCTCTCCAGCTCGACTGCTGCCCGCTACGTCATTTCATTGGTCGAGATCTACATCACCCATCTCCAAATGAAGGCTAAAATTGAGGAGCGCCGTCGCGAAATTAGAGATGCCAGGGAGGAGTCGCTGCGCCAGTACGCCGAGTCGGGAGAGACTGGGCCCACTCCCAACCTGCCGGATGAGAACGATATCGACGAGATGGAATTGGATGTGCCTGGGTGGGAAGAAAAGGGCCGCTGGATCTTCTACCTTGACCTGCTTACCGATTTCCTCAAGCTCACAGTATATCTCACCTTTTTCGCGATCCTGTTCACATTCTACGGTCTCCCATTACATATTCTGCGCGACGTTGTCGTCACTATTCGGTCTTTCGGACGGCGCATCATGGACTTCGTGCGTTACCGCAACGCTACTCGCGACATGAACGAACGCTATCCCGACGCCACCGCCGAGGAAGTCGCACGCGAGGAGGTTTGTATCATTTGTCGCGAAGAAATGACCCATTGGCACCAGCCTGCGGGCGCACAACAGCGAAACCGGGTCTCTGAGAGGTTGCGCCCCAAGAAACTGCCTTGTGGTCACATTCTACACTTTGCCTGTCTTCGAAGCTGGCTTGAGAGACAACAGAACTGCCCCACCTGTCGACGCCCAGTTATTGCGCCACCCCGGGCCCGGGGGGCGGGCGATGGTGGTAACCAGAACAATGCTGGTGCTCAGAACATGGCCGCTGGCAACCAAGCCAGAGATGGGCAACCAGATGGACTACCAAGAGCGCGTGTTTACCAATTCGGGCCTTTCAGAATCGGTTTCGGTGCGGGCAGGGGTGACCTCTTCCACAACCTTCACCAGCAGATCCATCAAGGCAATGCGCCTGTGCCACAAGCTAACAACGTCAATGCTCCGAATGCCCGACAAATTGGCTTCGGCTTCGGATTCGGACGGCCTCTCCCGATCCCAGCGCCGCAGGCTACCCCCAACCCTGCTTCAAACGTGGCCAACATGCAGACTCAGTTGCAGCAGATGGAGCAACAGATTGTCCAGGAGATTGAAACGCTGCGTGTCACTGCCGACCAGCTTCATCTGGTGCGGTTACTGCAGACGGAACT